CAGGTGCCTCGGCTGTCGCTCGCTGCGAAGGGTTTTGGCGACCCACGAGACACGAGTGCGCGCGGAAGCCTCGGTTGGCACTCGCTGCGAAAAGCCGTTCGCGAGCTGCGAAGCGGCACGACGCGGAGATGGGCCACACTCGCTGCGAGTTTCCTTTGGTGGACTGCGAAACACGCCCGTGAAGCCCCAGTTCGAGTTCATGATGGTTTCCGAGCTGTTCGAGCAGTCCAATTCACCTACCGAAGATTCGATACAATCCGACGAGCCCGAGAACATAACGCATTGATAAGGCCAAGTCCGGCTTCCCAACGGGCTCTACGAATCAGATGATTTCCTACAGCGGTAATCAGAAACGTCTCAGAGTCGGCTAACAATTTTAAACCGTAAGTCCTAATCTTAACTATAGAGTCCGCTCCGTTAGGATTTACTGTTCAATATATTTGAATATGCACATTGTCGAAGTTCCTAACAGAACCCAACAATTTATGTCAAAGACATCACATCGAATAGGCATCTCCATCTCATAAAATTCTAAAATTGTCAACCAAGGCCTGAAAACTCGCCTGGAAAAGGGGCCAAAGGCTCCTGACCTGACGAACTCCCCAGAATTCTTTGGTCTTATATAACCACGGTGTGATCGACAACTGAAAGGACTTCTTTCTGTCTCTCATTTGTGGCCGAAGCAATGGTCCCCGTAGATTGGAATCACCCACTTTTTGTGTTCAATATTATAATAGGGCAAATAATAAAACACACTTACGCGCAGATCTTGATTTAATTGACGAACATCGACGATCTGTCGATGTGAAAAATTATGCTTATAAGTGTCGAGGCGAAAGATATCACAACTTCAAAGTCAAACCAAGGACATTCCGGGAAGGAGATCTAGTCCTTAAAAGAGTTACAGGTTCGGATCCGGGGCCCTTAAGACCTAAGTGAGAAGGTCCTACAAAATCAACAAAGTGATCGACCAAGGTGCCTACCGCCTCAAAGATTTATAAAGAAAGGTCTATGAACGACCATAAAACACTGTATATCTAAAAGGAATGGTATCACTGAAGGCCCTTCATGACATTCTCTCAGCATTATATGTTTCACGGTAGAACCGACCTCTGACCGTAAACCCCCTCATGAACATTCGAGGTCGCGTGGACCTCAAGACCTAAATCCTCTCACGAACATTCTCAGTCGCGTCAATCTTAGGCCGTAAACCCGTTCCAAAAATTTGCGGTCGCGCCGACCTCAGGCCGTAAACTCGCTCACAAACATTCGTGGTTGCGCCGATCGTAGGCCATAAACCCGCTCACAAATACTCGCAGTAGTTCCGGTCTCAAGACCCAAACTGACTCGTAAGTACTCGTGGTCAGTGCCAACCTCCGGATATAACACTGTTGGATCAGAACGTGCATCTCTTATCTCAAGGCTCAACACCGATCGAGATCCTTTTCTATGCCTATCCAAGTTCATAAAAAAACTTATTATGGCATTTTAAGCTAAACAAACATCACCTTATATATAATTCTTGAATGTACTAAACCTAAGTGACAGGTTCGCTTGGTTTAGGGTCCTACCTGTCATAATTCTATTTTTGTATTCATACATAATTAATCAGGGTTGTCATGTCAAATGTCAATTATGCATGATTATTTCCAATATTACATATTTTCTTCATTGAAACAATCATTATTTATTTCATTTCATAATTTTCTTCCATAGTTACCATAATATTAATTTTTTTGTTCTATTATTTACATTCACTAAATCAATCATATTAATTTAATTCCCAATCTTCTCTTCAATATTCATATTTTACTTATTCCAAAGATGAAATGACATGATATTATTCTTTAGAATTTAATTGATATGTTGTCAATCTAATAAAAATAAATAATTAATTATCTAAATTTTAAAATTAAATATATAAAAAAAATAATAGTATTCAAATTCTAAAATTCAAATTCTAAAATTAAATACTAATGTTTAATAACTATGATTTGAAAAATATAGGTTGCAGGTAAATTAAAACACAAAGTGATGTTTTATATAAAATAAATTATTTTAGTTCTAAACAAAATTTGAAAATAAAAGCATTAATATTTTTTATATATGTTTCTTAATTCAACACATGTATAATACACAGATATTGTACTAGTTTTTTTTTTTTTAAAAAAAAAAGCATTTTCTTTTTAAAGGACGACCTAGATCAAAGTAATAGACGAACTTTATTCTACACTTACTCATTCTACTAAACTCTACTCCAACGTAAGCATAGAAGGCTTACACCTAATGATTACCCCAGAGCTCTATTTTTGCGAGCACTGGCACAAAAGAGTCGGCTGTAAGGAGGATGTTGGAGCAAACATCATCACCACATGTTTTCGTACTATGTCAGGTATTTTTGTATCATCAACTTCATATCCATATCAATCACAACCAATGTATATACAAATGATGTTGACAATTTTAGAAGTTCCATCACGTTTTATTCGTCAGTTCAAAATTAGTATTGTTCATGTGAGAACCATAATCACTCCACTCACACGTGCGCGCACAAAAGAAATAAAAAAAGAACCCAGCCAAAATGGATCCATAATACTGAAATACTATGTCTGCAAAATGTGTCAGGAGCAGATGTAAAAGTACAATGTATTACCACAAGATTTAACTACGAAATAGCTATAAAATGTAATCACAGCAAAGGATAACAAGTGCCGAAATCGGGAAAAGAGGAAATTTTCACTTCAATAAGGATACAGATAGCAAAAGCCACCTGAAGTGTGTAATTAAGCCTGTAGTTCCCAAATAAGAAATGCACATATCAGATTGGTAGCCAAGTTCACATAAAACCAACATTCAGCAAGATCTCTATTTGTAAAGAAAAGCATGGATCACAAATCGTGTCATCGAATCATGTTCGAGTTTCAATATCTTGTTTTCACATTACATATCTTAGATGATCGCAAATGTGATAGTATATAGTTAACTATATTTTTTTTTATGTCATGTTTTTGTTTCATGTTTCAAATTGTGATGTACCGTGTTCCATTGGATCATTTGTCCCATTATCATGTTCATGTTTCGTGTTCGTGTTTCATGTTGACCATTGCAACCCCTAAGAGCACCCACAATGTTTTGGGTCGTTTAAAGAAAAATCATATGCCATGTAGGAAATAGACTAAGTCTATAAAAAGATGTATTCCAATGCAATAAAAAGTAGACTTGATCTAGCTTATGTGGCACTAGAAAAAAGGAGACCAAGCCCACTCTTGGGTCTATTTTGGACTCAAGTACAAACTTACCTAGTCATCAATTATTCACAATTTTCTTTTTTTTAATAGGCAAAACATATACTTTTGTATGCATTTATTATTATGATATTTTTATTTGTTGTTGGGTATACTAGACATAGTAACTTTTTTTTTTTTTTTTTNNNNTTTTTTTTTTTTTTGCATTGGATAGGTTTTGAATTTTTTAGCTTGAGTTTGTCCATGTCATTATGGACTTAAGTCTATTTATTTGCCACATATGCAAAAAGAGACTCAAAGCATTGTGGGTGCTCTAATAGAAATGTACCTTGTTGGCAATATTGTTGGAAAGCCAGTCAAGACCCTCGTATAGCCCTTCACCAGAAGTGGCACATGTGCTCTGGATATACCTGCAATAATGCCAGAAATACTACTTGTTAGATCTATTTTTTCTCCAAATATACAAACTTGGAAAGTACATATATGCATTAACCCCACCCCACCAAAAAAATAATAATAATAAATAAAAATAAAAGGAGATAATTAAACAATCAAGATAGAGAGAGAGAACATACCAATGACGTTGACGGAGAGAGTGGAGTCCAAGCTTGTCAGTTATCTCAGCAGCATTCATAGCATTTGGAAGATCTTGTTTGTTTGCAAAAACTAGGAGTACAGCATCCCTCAGTTCATCCTACATAATTCGACAAAATCATTCTAAAAAAGGACGAAGTTCAAGAAATCGTGATGTACAAAAATGATAGGTGACTAGCGTTTTTTACAAGATGAAACAGTCTCATTAATGATCTCACGAATCATTTAGTAAAAATAGAAGATGGGCGGGTGGGCTGGGGGAGCGCTAGACCACTTTTATTGGGGGATTTGCACAACAAAACACAATTCCATGATACTAAAATTTATCCTCAATCAAAAATACAAAATACCAAAATATTGTGCTCACCTACAAATCAAAAGCCCATAAAATTTTCTGTACATCCAAGAAAATTGTACACAACATTTGTTCTTTAATTCAAAGTAATATTTAAAATGGTAAAAAACAAAAATAATTAGAATTTCATTTTCTTTCAGAACAAAATGTTTGAAAGAATATGAATAATAGCATCTTTATTACATACAAAAATTCACTCAAAAAGTAGTATTTAATTGATAATTTTTATTTTTTTTTTAATAAAAACTAACTGAGATGTGATATAATTGTAAGAGCCCATGTCTGGAGCAGAAAAAAATTTGACGCCTGTGTCCGTTTTTTGTCTTATAAGGTTAAAATTTTGAGATTTGAGAACCACATATGATGATGGTATGATAGGAACTAGAATTATTTTTCTTTCTTTTTTTTTTTTTACCTTCAACATGAATGGGAAAATTGTCAAAGTTGGGATGAATTACCTCATTTAGCATCCTGTGCAGCTCATCTCTAGCCTCAACAACACGATCCCTATCATTACTATCAACCACAAAAATCAGCCCTTGAGTGTTTTGAAAGTAATGCCTCCACAATGGTCGGATCTACATCAGAAAATATCATACTGATCAGAGTGCGGAAGGAATCTGAGAGAGTAAATAGTCAAACTCTAACAGCTAGTGAAACATTCGACTCCAAAATATATCATAAGCCCTCAAGCCATATAACACAATTGTATAACAATTACCGCTAATCTTTTACAATACAGAACTTCGGAGATACTAAGTAAAAAATAATCTTATACCTTGTCTTGACCACCGACATCCCAGACAGTGAAGCTTATGTTCTTATATTCCACTGTCTCCACATTGAATCCTGGAGTAAATAACAATAAATTAACACAATGCAGTGTACATAGATGATCTGGTGAGGACCAAGCATCATGGCTAACATCATTACAACACTTGAAATTACAAATTAGAATTAGAAATGACAACATAGAACAAATCCACCCTAATACTGGGTCTTAAATTGTCCAATTAATCTCGACAAAACCATAAACCATTAGTCGTCCAGCAACTACAAGTAGGTCTGTACTTGACTGTTGAATGCAATAACGTGTTTCTCCTCACATCCAAACATAAAATTTTGCACTGCTTAATGCTTAATCCAGGTTGTCATGTTTTCACCATAATATTAAATGTTGAACTAACAAGAAATGTCTAATAGCAGTATCCATATAAATGAATATGTGCACGGTGAAACGAAAGATGACCATTTGTTATCATTTAAGTGCATATCACCAAAATTATTCTATCGCTCACGTGTGCACAAAAACGCACAAGTTACACAATTAACATGGAGGTGGACATTAGTGTCATAAATACCCAGACATACCAATTGTAGGAATGGTCGTCACTATCTCTCCCAACTTGAGCTTATACAATATGGTGGTCTTACCAGCAGCATCAAGACCTACCATAAGGATTCGCATCTCCTTCTTCGCGAACAGGCGGCTGAAAAGCTTGGTGAAAGACAACCCCATTTTATCTGTATAAATAATAACCCAGAAACAACATACAAATCTTAGCCTTCAAAGAAAAGCTGAAAACAAATCGTATTTTACAGTAATCCCAATATCAATTAATATATGGTGCACACCACAATCAGATAAATAATCCGAAAAGATTTTATCGGGCCAGTTTTCGAAATTATATAAAGCCATTTCGATCACGAAATCAATTTCAAATGTTGAGCTATGGATGTTGATCAAACATCGTTAGGAATCAAATCCAAACAAATTACGCATCCGAAAGAGAAACCAAACAAAACATAGATCGATTAACTGGCAGCGAAATCACATAGATACGATCCTTCGTAAATTAGCAAAAATTATAGAATCAAATAGATTATATCAATGGAAGTCTATATTGTGGATTGGGGGATCGGCAACTCATACTCATGAATAAATGAAATAAAAAAAAAAATATTAATTGGGGATCACAAACCATGAACAGGGACGAAGAAAGCTTACACTGCGAAGGTGCACAGAAGAATGAAATCGATTTGGGGAATGGGCAGATCTTGTTGAGAGCTGCCCTTTACGCACCAAATAAATGAGGCTGTTTTATGCCCTATGATATGAAGACATGTGCATTATATAAAATAGTGGGCTCTCGGCACAGCCTACCCGAGTTTAGTCTATAGCCACATTTTCGTAACTATTTTTCTCACAATAGAAAATTACGAGATTATAAAATTAATAACATTAACGTAGCTCTTAAAAGAATTTATACCATAGATAATGCTTCCCTACCGTCGGTAGGCACGTGTTAATATGTTTACTGTTTATGTGTCATACACACATTTGTAATATTAATATGTTCAAAAAATACATCACCAATATATGCATGTCACATAAGCAGTGAATATATTAACATGGCTCACCGTGGGTAGGGGAGCATTACTGTTTATACCATTTTAACCAACCTTTTGAAACATGGAATGAATTTATTATTTGTTGCTCAAATTAATCTTTCGTAACTGACAAAAGATCAATAAATTCACAAAAATAAAATTGTTATGATCTTTTATTCGTGTTCATCTCTTGTTATTCATATCTCCCTCATATTTTTTTCTCCATCTCTCCCCCAACTCTTATTCAATTTAGGCAATAATACAGGTGAATCAAAGATAAATCATAACTATTAACGAATCAAAGATAAATCATAACTATTAACAAAAAAAAAAGGAGAAATCATACCATAATAAACAACCAATTAAATCAATACAGGAAAAAATAAATCAATAATAAACCAACAATATGCGAACAATAAACAAGTATTTAAATTAATACGAAACCAACATATCCTCCCTATATATAATTCTCGAATACGCTGAGCCTACGTGGCTGTTTCTGGTGTTTCGGAATCCCACTTGGCGAAGAATCATGCTTCGTAATTAGGTTTGGACAAATAATATTGATATATTAATAATTAATAATTTAGGTTCGGACATTCCATAAATATTATTTAGCTAACTTAGGTACTTTAATATCACTTTTACTAATATAACCCTTTAATTATTTGTAATTTTATACAGTGAAACACTAAGTTACTAATATATCCTTGACTTTTGATTTGTTTCCTTCAATTAGCTATTGAATTGTAAATTTATTTTAAAAGTTGATAACTTTTGTATTTCATATCGGTTTTACATATATGATATATCAAATTAATCATCTTTTGATGATCTTCGATTTGACATCCATATTGTATATATGAAATAAATAAATTATATTTATCTTTATATAATAAAAAATAATAATATTTATTAAAAATCATTAGAAAAATAAAATTATTTATCAATTGATATATTTATGTTTAATATAATTATATGTTGTAAGTTAAAAAATTATTATAATATAACACAGGTAAGTCGCACAAATAAAAAAAGTGTCATACTAAATATATAATAATATATATACATTTATAAAAGATATTGAAATTTTTAATTATTTTTTCTCATTAATTTTATATCTTAAAAAAAATTAGCAAACACCCATGTAATACACGGGCGTTGTACAAGTAAAGACAATAAACAACAACAGCTATGAGAGGCATTTTCATTGCAACACATAACAAAAATCCAATTTGAACTACATGCTCATAAGTAAACTTTAAATAATCCCTTAACAATAAAAAATAAAGACATGACATATTATTACAGTTCAAAAAATAAACTACAAAGAAACGAACATGCTTTAAAGTTGTAAAATGCAAATCACCATATTGTTTACAAAACAACAAAATAAAGCAAGCATTTTTTTTTTTTTTTTTTTTTTTT